CCCGTTCAAATTGCACACGTGGCATATGACCGTGGCATATGATGTGGCTTTTTTTCCTATTCTTTTTTTCTCTCTCTCTTTTTCATTTTCTTTTTCCTTCCTTCTTCATTCCCCCTCCCTTCTCCTTCCCTGCGCACACGGCACAACCTGCAATTTTTTTCTTTCTTTTTCACTCTCTTCTTTCCCTACTTCTCCGGCCTCACTTCACCCTCCTCACCTTCCTCCGCCTTCACTCCCGCTCCCTACTTCTTTTCCATCGACTGGGGTGGGGCCGAATTGAGGCTCCATCGGATCTGGAAATGGCTGGCCTGGAGGTCTCACAGAACACCGACGCTGACCCGGAAGCTTCACTGACTTCAAGGATATCGACTCATGGGCAGGGGACAAGCGATCTGCAAGAAGGAGGCGTACGACACTCCGGCAGTCCGGCGACGTGGGTTTTTCTCACGAATCTCCGGCGACGTGAAGGACTGGACGACGACCGATGGATGGGAATTGGGAGAAGAAAGAAGAAAAGGGGAGAAGAAAGGGTGGATGGAAGAAATGGAAGAAGGGGAAAGGGGGAGTTGCTTGAACTGGAGAGTAGGAGAAAGCGGGAGAAGGAAAAAAGAAAGAGAAAAGAAAAAGAAAATGGAAAAAATTGAAAACCGCCACGTGGGACGCCATGTGTGCAAGTAACCGGTTAACCAATACATTACCGGTCAAAAGGGGAGAATTGCCACTTTAAAATGAGTTCAAGGGTGTTTTCAAATGACAGCTTCTGCTTAAATTAATCACTTAAAAGCTAAAAGCTGGAAGCAGGTGGAAGAGTGTTTTAAACTGCTTTTCACTTTTTCTATTACACAAAAAGTACTTATTTTACCAAACACTACTAACTTTTACTTTTCAGAATCACTTTTTTCTCAAACACTATCAACTTTTACTATGAAGTACTTTCTCCAAAATCACTTTAAAAAATCACTTTTTTAAAGTAGAAGCAATCACAAACACTCCCATATTTTAAAAGTAGAGGGGCTTTTTTGATAGTTTTCCCCGTTGTATCTCTTCGATTCAAGCTTCCACTACAATGCCAGGGAAAGTTTTTTCCTTGTTTATGTTTGGGCGCAGGGTCATTTATTTATAGGGGCAACTCCTTTATTTACATAATATAATGGGGGGCAAATTTGTGATTTTTGTAATGGAAGTATGGAACTTGAGCTAAAAATATGCCAGTTATTAGTCTCGTATATATATATATCATTGTAGCAAAACTAAGAAGTGAGTTAGGAAGAACACGTGTTGTTGTTACTATTACTATTACTATTACTATCACTATCACTATCACTATCACTATCACTATCACTATCACTATCACTATCACTATCACTATCACTATCACTATCACTATCACTATCACTATCACTATCACTATCACTATCACTATCACTATCACTATCACTATTATAAGATTATATTCGAAAATACACCCATGTGAACAGAGCCATAACAAAATAATCAATCATAAGTCCCTGTAATAGCTAGCTAGCTCGATGCCTTTATATATCAGTATATCTATATGCATGGAGACACCGGCCACTTGAAATTTGTACGGAGTATATACTATTCCTTAGAAATTAGGAGTAAAATTTTGGTCAAAATCACACTTCTTGTAATTTTATTCCCAAATTGGACCATATTTCTCCTATTTTGAGACATACGTATTTTTCATTCCATTTTTACCCCTCCTTAAAGAGAAGAAAAGGTAGTCAAGAGTCATAATGAAATGTTTTAATCCATAATAAAATAGTAAAAAATAATAAAAAATCATAGGAAAATGATAAAAAATAAATAAATATTTATAAAATAAAAATAAAAATTTAAAAATAAAAAATTAATAAAAATAGTAAAAATCTATAAAAAAAATATGGACGTCTTTTCCACCGCCTCTACAGGTGTAAAAAATGCCATTTTTTCCTGAAAATACCAAGAAAATGACATATTACTCTTTGATAATGTCAAAATTTTCATTGAAATTGTCACTAATATGACATTACTAAAGCATGTTGCATTTTTCCTCGTGAACGGAGGTGGTGGTGCTGGTGGTGGTAGAGGTGGTGGTGAATTTTTTTTATACGTTTTTTTATTTATTTTCTTTAAAATTCTTAATTTTTTTTCAAAAGAATAGTTTTTTCAAAACTTTTATTTTATAAATATTTATTGATTTTTTATTATTTTTATGATTTTATTAGGAGTTAAAACATTTCAATAGCTACAACGGTATATTTGTCCAAACATACATAATTAGTCTTGCTAGTGAATTAAAAAACAATGTAGTCCTATTTGTGATTATTGACTACCTTTTTACTTGTATTTAGGTAATTAACCCATTATTGCTAGTTGCCTTTTATTTATACGGAGTATATAGTAAACTAGCTTAATTTATTCCATCATTTTATTGCTTCATAAAATATATAGTTTCTTTCTAGTTATGATTAATAAAAATCAACAGATCGACATACATCACCCTATTGGATTATTAGAGGATTAAGTTGATAATGTGACAAATTATTTGTGACATCATGATTGAGTGAGTGAGATTATTTGATATGATTAGTTGATAAAATAGTCAGATTATTATTTATCAAGATCAATTGAGTGAGTGGGATTGAAATATGAATCCAGATTATTTCAAAATTATTGTGTAACTAGAGTTAATTAGCTAGTGCAGGACCCACAAAAGATATGACTACTTTGAGATTATGAATGTTATAATTTAGAAGGTGTGAGATTATTTTGAAAAAGTCGAAGTGTCATGAAAGATCTGTTTATTTAAGTATCATGAATGTGGATGCTCTTAAAATATGTAGTATAGAGTAAATAATGAGTTAGTGGTGGGCAACCAAGTATTCCAGCCCAGTTAGTTGTGGGGTTATCGTGCCTAGTGGGAGGTCTCGAGTTCGAAACCCGCTAGGTACATAAGGGTTCGAAACTCAATGAAGTGAGTTTCAGACTTTCAGCCCTTATTACTCCAGCCCCCCAGACCCCCCGGAGTAAAAAAAAATGAGGTAGTGGTGGACTTAAAAAAAATGAGTTGGTGGTGGACATTTCGGTTATAGTTTAATTTTTGTCGATTTTTAGTTCATTCGATTCGATTTGTTTTAATTAGGTTCAATTCACAATTCATATTAGTTCGCTCTCATTCAACTTGAATTTGTTATTTCTGATACAAAAACAATATGTGAAGATTTTATTACTTTTGTTGACTTTATTCAGTTTTTCACGATTTTAATCTAGTAAGGATTAATGTGACTTGGAAGAAATAATAGATTTGTTTTGGTGAGAACAAAATACCCACCCCCATTTAGAATGATCAATCTATTTGACTTTGAAACTAAACTTTTAGGGAGTTTTTCCCAAACTAGAGTAGTTTGAAAACTTATTTCCTAAACTATGGTAGTTTTAAACTTATTTTCCAAATTAGGATATTTTTTGCTATGTCACCCTACCTGACACGTCACTCATGCCACATGTTGCTTATCATTCCATGTCATCAAATCTGAGTGTGTTTTGCTTCATAAAAAATATTTCACTAGTGAGTCGAACACACACCCTCTCATTTGTATATGAAGGCAAGAACCACTGGTCTACTATTCTCATTTGGTTCGTGTTCTCATTTAAAAATATTTAACATACACCAATACACCATACTATAGATTTTAACATATACTCGTACGTGGTATAAGATAACTATTTTTTTTTATCATAGTATAAGATATGTAATTAAAAAAGTTATAATAACTCAACACAAAAATTATTAAAAAACATTATATTCTTAACATAAAAAAGTTTTAAAAGTTTATTTAGGAAAAGTTCTTTATACAGTCTCAACTGAGCTCGGGCTCGACTCGAGTAAGGCTTGGGTTCAGTTCAAATTTCACAAATTAATTTTTATCTGTTCGAGTACAAATAAAGTGCTCGGATTTGAGCTAAAAAATTGTAGAATATTTTATATTAGATTTATACATGAAAATAATCAAATTAATAAAAAAGTATAAATGAATGAATAAATAAATACATAAATGAATAAAATATAAATGAATAAATAATCAACATTCATTATTTATTCATTTAGATTCATTCATTTATTTATAAATTGACTTTATTTTAATTTTTCATTATTTTTTTAGCTCGAATAAAAACAGTACATACATATATCAATTCTTTCTCAAATAATTAAAGAATATGTTAAATTTTAATTTTAGATATTCAATTTAAAAACAAAAATCCAATTAAAAATTATGATAGAAACGTAAATAGATATATGTAATTAAAAAATGTATTTTATATGTTCAAGTTCAAATAAAATCTTCGAAATTGAGCTAAACAAATAATGAAAAATTGAAATCAAGTCAATTTATAAATAAATAAATAAATAAATAAATAAATAAATGAATAAATGAATCTATAATTATATTAATGAATAAATAAATGGATATTAATTATTTATTAATTTATTAATTGTTGTGTTGAAAAAAGTTAAGCAAATATTTTCATATTTGAATAAGCGAATAAATGTTATTATAAGTTATAACTAAGCAAATAAATAGATATTAATTAATTATTCATTTATTCATTTATATTTTCATTATATAATTTTTTACGTTAAGAATCTAATGTTTTTTAATATTTTTTTATGTTGAGTTATTATAACTTTTTTAATTACATATCTCATATATGTTAAAATCTATACTATGGTATATGTCAAATACATTTAAATGAGTGCAGTATCCAAATGAGCATAGTGGCCCAGCAGTTCTTACCTACAATTACAAGTGGGAGGTTGTGTGTACAACTCCCACTAGTGAAATTTATTTTTTTACTAAGCAAATCACATCCAGATTTGATGACATGGAATGACTAGTTACATGTGGCATAAGTGACGTGGTAGGTAGGGTGACATGGCAAAAAAATACCCTAATTTGGGAAATAAGTATAAAAGTACCCTGGTTTGGGAAATAAGTTTTACAACTACCCCAGTTTGGGAAAAAACTCAAACTTTTAGATTTAATTACTGTAAAGGTGTTCATTGTACCGTACAAATTTGGCAAGGGTATTTGGCTAATATTGACCGAACGTGCCAAGTATTTCATAAAATAAATAAATAGTCATGGTAAATTCCATTTCTGTCAAAGAAATCAGATGATACATTCTATACTTATGATCAATTGATATATTTAGAGTACCAAACGGGACCTAAAGTCTCTTCCTCGTAATATCTATCGCGAGTTGTAGTATCCCTGTAACACCTCAAGCTTCGAAAGGGAACACTCCATCCCACTTATTGTCACGACTTTGATCCTGCATAGCTGCTTTTAGCATCTTGTGTAACTTCCAGAAGATGTGAGAACATTTTCAAAGAAGAATCTGCAAATTTACTTAACTGCCCTAGTAAAACAGCCAAGCCTGTATTGAAACGATCAAAAGACACAGTAATGCTATGGTCCCCCGAAGGGTTTTCTCGGGTTTTCTCACGGCTGGGCGGTAAGAAACGGGTCACTTCAGAGGCTAAGGTTCCCATGGCATCAACCACGTCTTTAGTAGGCAAAGACTCAAACATCTCCAACCAAACACCGCATATCACATAAACGGGCGGCCCGTATTTTCTGAGTGGTGGCGCGCTTCTTCTTCGTCTCCGTGAAGATTTCTCTTCGAGAAGCACACACTTTGTGAGCCATGTGTTAATGGATTCCACATATGTTTTCTGAGCGCTTATCCAGTTGGTGAAGATTGAAGATAGAGATGTTAGCTCATTTTCAAGGTGGATTATGATTTCCCGGCGTGAATCTGAGGAATTTATAAAGGAGATCTTCATGTTTCCAGGGGAATTTGAGGCTGAAATGATTTGGTGCTGAAGTCTGTGAGACTCCAGCATTATTTCCCACATCCTTCTTAATCTGCACTTATCGAGGAGGGGGGTAGGGAACTGTATTAAAAGGAAGCTATACATGTGATTGTATGACTAAACACTCCCAATATCTTCTTAGTACCCCCACCACGCATTTATCATGTTAATCAGTGATTGTTTGTCATACGAGTAATTATTGGTTTAATGAGAGTGTGTGTTCTAAGTGCCGCATGTATTACCACACAAAGTTTGGCCAAAGACGCACTCCAGTTGTTTTTTCTCCCTGGGGTCAAAAGACTCAAAACTGTAAAGAGTAGTTTGGTAGATCATAATACTAACTTAAAATGCAATTTACCAATTACAGAGCATATTTTTAGTGTGAGCTTTACATTACACATCTGACTACATGACATTTCATACGGCTTACCAAACTACACATAACGGTAAACACGTAATATCATGAAAAGTAAGCATCCATGTAAAGTTGAAAGGTTATTCTCAGTATTTTCTAAGGTCAAAGAAAACATTTGAAAAAACGTTTACCTTTAAACATTTTCTTGTTCACTTCCCTACCATCTTAAGGCTGCAAATATAGACCTAACGATTTTGTAAAATACTCCGTACATAAAGTGATAAGAGGAGGCAAACCCTTGGATCAGCCCCTCAAGCTGAGGTTGAAGTTCATTGTCTCTCAAGTCCTCAATTGTCCTAGAGACGGAGTTTATTCTGGCAATGGCAACCCCAAGGCTGGAGTGCAGATCCTTCACCACAGCTCGCACGTTATCAATCCTTCCGGAACTTTCTCCCCTTGACTCTAGCTCTCTGAGCACCTTACACCTTTCATCATATACACGTCTCACCATTGCACATCCCTGAAACAAAAAAAACAATTTAGAAGTCAAAAATATCATAATGATTTGGAGTCACTTAATTGAGATCAAGCCATACTAAAAGATTGACTCCAATTTATTAGCTATTGTAGTGCAAGAACTTATAAACTCAGACTCTCTTTAATCTTTTGTCATTGTCAATTGAAAAGGTTTACATATAGCGCTACAAAGTATTATCAGTCTCACTGAGCTTTTTGTCTTTTCTCATATATGCACTAATGCACCTCATATGCAGACAAACAAGTCAAGAAGTGTACCTCAGCATACATAAGACCAAACACATACCTGAACTTCATCATAGAGTTTCTTTTCCCAAGCAAACAGCCGATCTAAGGTCAATGCATGACTACCCGGTTTCATACAAAAGTCATCAACATCTTGATTGGAGGAATTTTCTATATATGTTGAGTTCACATCATGTGGGACCCTCAGTGAAGAAGAAGGCGATGACATGGTCCCATGCCATGTCAGATACTTAACAGAAGTTTGAGCAGGTTCTGGAAAAAAAAAGAGAATTAAAGGAACAAGTGAGGTATTAGTATACTCCATTCATTTTCAAAGGTATTTCGTACATATATAAGTGATCATTTAGCAACCCCTTAAATTAAACCATAGTAAAGGCATTACGTTGTCCTCTCATATTGTTTTAAAGCTTAATCAAAATCAATTGGGTAATGATTGTCAACTTAAGACAAAATTAATCAATTATCACTTTATAACCCATAACTTTTCCGACAGTTATTTGAGAACGGAAGAGCTATATCATTGTAAAGTAACCCCAATGAAAAGGATTGAGTATGTAACAAGTAGACTATCTACAAAATCCCACTTTATTGGTTTACCGAATAGCGTATTTAATCCATTTATTTATAACCGTCAATAGATGTATCCCCAAAAAATCCATTTATCTACTGAAGAGACCTGCTGGTGGTGTACCATTTTTAGGTATAAGCACAAAGAAGTGGTGTAAGTGTCAGAATGACAAAGGTGCCTACCTTTTTGGCACATGGAGATCTTCACCACAATGGAAACAAAGTTTAAGGAACTTATTTAATAAACCTCTCAGTAAATGGTTAAAAGAGCTTGAACCCAATACATTATGAGAAAACCACAAGGCAGTAAAAAGGTGGAATTGCGACCATGTCATAGAAGGATTCATAGTAATGTATTTTTTTTAAATGCGGCCATATCTATCTGGTGATACATTCAATTACTAATGTGCATGAATATATTTATTAGCTACCCCTTCAAAGCCAAATCATTGTTCTCAAATATTGCGGCTTTAAAATATTGAGAGAGCATAAATTGCCTATTTTCCACCATTACTCTTCTCCACTGCAAAATTGATTCATGTTAGCCGACCCCAAAATCTTTTGGGAATAAGGCTTGGATGTTGTTGTACTCTTCTCCATCCATAAATGTTACATAATTTTTTAAAACTTCAGTAGGGGTGTTCTGCCTATATTAGAATATTTACCTTCAATTTAGAAATATATTCAATACTTTGTTAGTATGTGTATGCAAACATCTAAAACAACTGTTGGAAGAGAATGGATGAAGTATAACTTATGATTAGCACTGCAGAAAGCAGAGCTGTATAAATAAGTACCATCTCCAGGGGATAGAATTGGGTGGAAATGGAATTCATTTGCTTCCAGCATCTGAGGAACTTCTCTTCCTGAGTCTGCAGCTTGAATGAAGAGGCACTCAATATCTTTTATGCTGGAAAAGAGGTCTTTCTGGCCAACCATAGTTTCAACAGTGCTTTCTCTTGCTGCCTGAATCACCCCGTTAACAATTCTCGAGGATAGACGCCTGAGCGGAGGCAAACTAGTCAAATTAAATTCATCATCTGACTCAGCACCTCCCGGGGTTTCTAAAGGAACGGGAGAAGTTTCAAATGTAGTGTCCAATTCAACAAACTTTCTAAAATTGATTCCTGTGGTTTTCAACGCCTCTAAATAAGCAGTGTGATTGGCTGCTAATAAGCATCTGCCATCAACTGCTTCACTAACAATCTTCTTCCGTTCATCACAAAGTTGTAAGGCTTTATCTTCTTCGACTTTAGAATTCACGCCTCCCATTGAATAGCTACACACAAAATCACCCACACAAGAACTGTCAAGTCAACATGTAACATAGCACCAACTTCTTCATTAATAATGCACTTCTCATTTTCTCAAGAAATTCAAAACCCAATAGATACATCAATGATGTTAAATTCATCTAACTCACCCCCAAAGGACAAGCAGAAAGTGAGATTTACCACACACACATATATGCATACATATTCGAGTTAATTCTAGTAAACAACCAATGTGGGATCTTCAACACACACCCAAGCAGGGATGTAAAATAGAAGGGGTGCACCGATTTCCAAATGGGCCCAAACAGGCTGGCCCGAACCATCGAGTTGGCAGGCACTGAGGCACAGCACTAACCATTATAGGATCATGCAACCCGTTCATGTTAAATGGAGCCTAAATCATCTCAATTAGATTCTCAAAATGTAAAACTTGCATCACACTTATATACTACATGCAAACCCTGTACAAAACAAATGTAGTGCAAAGTTGTGATATGTGTAGTGCAGAATTCGATCACATATAGAAACCAAAGGAACAAACATAAACAAAAGCAAAAGCAAAAGCAAGGCTCCACTTGGCATGTTAGGGTTAAAATACATTTGGTAATCACTATTCCCTTCATATAGTGTAGGCTGTGTAGTGAAAAATGTTATGAGGATTCCTAAGGAAGCTCTAATGGACTTGCCAAACATGGGAAAGTTAACAGAATGGTTTTGATATTCCATTTTAAATGCGCACATAAAATTAAAAACGGTGTTTGGTATGCTGAGATGATCATCCTGAAAATCAAGTGTCTAACAATTTTTTTACGTTCATGACAGAGTTGTAAGGATTAATATTTTTTGCTTTTATATTTCACCGAATCCCCACCATCACGACCCGACCTGGTTAGCTGAGTTTAGTTGTCATTGAATATAACAGCTCAAGGCTTACTTCTTCAGCAGAAACTTATTACTTCCTCCGTTTTTTAATAAGTGCAACACTTTCCATTTTCGGCAGTTTCAAATTAAGTGCAACATTTCTATTTTGGGAAAGAAATACAAAGCCAATGGACTTTTATACCCTTCATTATTTACAACCGTTCCTCTTTCGTTTCTGACTTTTTCTTTAACTTCTCCACTCACCCACCCACTACACCATTCTTCTTTTTAGTTCCTTGCACTTTCGAATCTGTTCACCGACTCAACAATTCTCCATTTCTTTCTTATCATCTTCGTCATTTATTTTTCTTTCTTCTAATTTGTATTTCAATGATGGCCGGAAGATAGGGACAACTATTAAACCAATTTTGCTCCAGTTACTCCCCACAAGCTGAGACACGACGGTAATGGTGGCTTCTAGGCGGCGGCCGACTGCTGCGGTGTCCATTGCTCATGTGGGATGACAATTGGCAGAAGCGAACGAGAGAGTGCTGAGCTAGGCTTCACGCCGGAGAAAGAGGATAGAGTCGCTTGCCGGAGTTTAGGCAAGATTCAAATGGGGTTTTCCGAAAGTGAACAGTGCCCAGAGCCTGTTTTATTTCTTGGCTGTAATCATTCATCCACTTTTGTTTACTGTAAGCACTGTGTTTGTGTGTCGGCTACTCTGCTATTTAGAAGGGTAAAATAGTCAAGTCTTGCACCTTTACACGGTCTCTTAATCTTTGTGCCCAAGTGCATGTTGCACTTATAACCGAACGGAGGAAGTATTATAATAGGGAAAGCACACACTCAACCTGGACTATTTCAACCAAACAGTTGTAGTAATCTAGTTCAGCCAATTTAGCAATTCAAGAGATCATTAAATGGCCCCTTAATCTATATATCCAAGTTCAGAATCAAGCCCCAAAAGAAGTACAAAGTATGATCAATAGAGTAACAGAAAGGAAAAGTACACTAAGAGATGGAAAATAACAAAATCATTATTTGGAAGAATTAATTGAATGTATAAAGTCAGGTCTCCCATGAAAATCCTGAGAAGATCCATATCTAAACAAATCAACCGAACACTTGTAGTAATCTAAGTCTAGGTATCAGATGAGTACATAAAAACCAATACATGGTTAAATTTTCACCACAAAAAGGCAAGTACATTAGTAAGAGAGGCAAATGTGGAACACAAATTGAGCAATAATTGGAAAAACCAAATAAAAGAAGACCCAGTAGAGTGGAACACAAAGGGCAAACTTAAAGCAAAGAAAAAACAGTAAGCATCAATCAAGAGATAAAATGGGAGTGCGGCAGTACCTGATGGAGTAAAGAGAAGTGGAAATGGTGGAATCGTTAGCTCTCCTCCCTCCACAGTCAGAGATTAGGGTTTGTAGAAATGTGTGTGCAAGGAGAGGGAGCGAGAGAAGTCAGCGCACAAGGAATGGTAATCGAAATCCATGCATAAGAAAGAAAGAAAGAAGAGAAGAGAAGGGTGGACAGTGGGGTCCCACCCCGCCATCTAAAGTCGCACTTTAACTATCCAAAATGTCTATTATCATTTTAGTCTCCCGTTTAGACATTAGACATTCTTTACGTATTCCCCCTCCAATGGACGTAGTCTCCCGTTTACATTAGAAACCCTCCTAGACTTGCTGACTGGCCCAAAATAATAAAAACAAGGTGATAACTCCGGTACCCATTTAAAAAAATGGTATACCGTATCTATCATGCATTTGATTTATCCAAATCATTATATGTTTTTTAATTTAGATTTAAATAATTCAACTGTATCATTCTTATTGGTTCATTTGGACAAAGATATGGTATACCATAGAATCTACCTTTATTGCATCATTCTTATTGCCTGATTAACGAAAATTTAGAGAGTAAAAGCTGCATATGTTATTTTCTACAAGACAAGATGTTGTTGCATCGGCAATTCAAGTCATTTTCCGATGGAGACATCATCGCAAGGTAGGTGGATCTCAACCGGCTGCGACCATTATTGGAGCATCCACCATAATTAACTCCTACTATCAACTCGCATCTGGAAGGCGAAAGATGTCGGCATTCCTCTCAAGGAAAAGTGAGAGAGAGTTGAATCGGATATACGATAGTATGAGTCGTCCTAATGGAACACTGCTACCACACTGGCCGCAGCCATTTTCCCGAGTTCCCTAGTAGCGCCAGAGTGCCCTCGATCAGATTCTGCAGTCATCACAAATATACTCTAAATATTTAAGGATTTCGATTGAATTGAAACTTGATTTTCTTTTCCACTTAAACAGATGATCGATAGAACATGATAACCAGTTTGGTATCTTTAAAACCTTTATGGATGGCCGGATTAAAATTAAGGAAATATTGGGGATTAGAGGAGCAATATTTACCAAGTATATTTTTAAGTTAGGTATAACAGAGCGAGTCGGGAGACTTGGGAAGTAAGACTTTGAGGATTGGAGACTTAAGTTGCTCGATGGTGTATATATATTTGAACTCTCAAGCTATCCGTATTGGAGCTAATTACTCGGCTCGTCGGTGTACTGCCTATCCGAAATAATAGGGGCCTCCTCCCCAAGTTTGTAACTGATTTTTTATTTTTGAACTTGTTCTTATCTTGACCAATTCTCGAGGTCATTCGTCCGCATTGATGGACTTCCACGCAATGCTGTTGGGCTTCACAACCCGGGCTGACCCAAACTAAGGCCCAACACCAAGATAAATCCTGGGTCCAACAATGCCCCCATTCATGATGATAATAGAGCGACACGCAAATCGGCGAATTGTCATCATGAATCCACAAGTTTCAAGATGTCCTTTCCGATGCCAACTTTCGTATAACTCGAGGAAACTACTCGATTAGACTCCTTCGTCTTTTTGAACTTTCTCCACCATATTCTTGAACACCCATCTTCCGCTAACCAAGTCTCCAACCACCTTCTTCCTGTTCACCTTCTCCTCAATGGAGCTGATTGTTTTCGCCAGTCGGAACCTTCTCGACGCCAAGAGTTCCCAGGCATGTGATTTGCGGGAACCCGAGAAAGAAGAAATTATGTCTATGTACGGTTTCTCTCCCCCGGCGAGGGTTCACTTCCCGGTGCGACCCGAGAGAGTTGACTTGTTCAGGCAAAACTGGGTGAGTTTCTTTCAATACTCATTCAAGAAATAGGGCATGAAATTTCCTTTCTCCGAATTTGTTTCTGGTGTATTGAACATCATGCAAGTGTCCCCAGCCCAAATTACCCCCCAAACATGGCGGTTAATTCGTTCCTTAGAGGTCTTGAAAGAGAAACACGCTTTGGAGTTCTCTGCCGAGGACTTGGGTTTTTCGTATTATCTGCGAACCTCCGGAAAAGGCAGGTTCATATTGACGCTCAAGAATGAGAGAGAACCATTGATTCAAGAAATCAGTGGTGCTAATGACAGGGGATGGTTGACTAAGTTCTTCTTCGTGGAGAAGTCTTCGCTTGGAGCAAATGGTGCCTTCCTGATGGACAAATGGAGAATCGCAGGTCTGTTCTCATCAATATTGTTGTTTCTCAAATTCATTCTCATTTATCCTTACTCGCGTTGATTCTGTGCCTTAGCAAAAAGCAAAAGACAATTCCTTTAGATTTTGGACCAAACGCGGAAGAAAGAACAAACCAACTCCTGTCATTGAAACTTGAAGAACTTGTGTTTTCCTCCTTGGTAACACTACTAGAAAAAGAACTTTTAACGACCACTATATAACGACGAACCTAAAATATTGTCGTTAAAAGTATCTTTTAACATTAACTAATGTTTTCGTCGTTATTAACTTTTATCTTTAACGACATAATGGAAAGTTGCTGTTATCTCCTTTTATGTATTTCATCGTTATTACTGATTAATAATTTTTGACCAATAAATTCGAAAAACTTAAATTATAAATATTCACCATGCCGCCTAAATGGCTAAATTTTAACTCCAATTGTTTTCCCTATCCCGCCTAAATTTTGACGCACTCCAGTTATTTTCACGATGCCGCCTAAATTTTGACGCACTCCAGTTAAAACCCTAGGCTCGTAGCTATCCCCATCTTTGAAATCACTGCTTAAAGGACTCCAGAGGATTGAACTCGTTCTCGCTGGATCGTTCCTCTGGCCCAATCATTCAAGTCGCTCGATGTTTCAACTCGTTCGATCGCCAAGCTTACTCTAGTTGGATTATCGAAAAGCTCCTCTCACTCATTTGTCGAAACTTTCCTCTGGTTCGATTGTTAAGCTTACCTCTCGCTCGATTGCCGAAAGTTTCCTTAAAATTGCCGTCCGACATCTCATTCTTCCTGTTTGTAACTTTAACCTTCAACATTTATTACATTTTTTCAGCATTCTAGATGTTTGTTGTATAAATTTATTAAATCCTTACTTGCTTTGTTTATTTGCTTGTGTGGTTTGCTTTAATTTGATGAATTGCTGGGAGTTTTAATCTTTACATCGATTTCTGAAATGAATGAATTGCTAAACTTGCTCCAATGAAGTATTATGAGTTTTATAAGACATTGAAAAATGAAATCGGCTATTGTTATTGATGTTAAAGTCATTTTTACCTTTAAAATATAATCAATTAAGTATAATTACATCTGATTACATCTAATTTGAACAGTCTCAATTACAGCAGACTCAAAGTACATGTGAGATACACACAAACTATTGAAAAAGCTAGAGCGATACTAACATAGATTTAAGACACCCACTTAACAAAATATCAGGTTCTTACAGGCTGCTGCAGATCCAGTATTCTCTCATTTTATTTTGCTTGATATTTTGACTCAAAATACCATCACACCTAATGTGTGAACTTAATTATCCTAGGAAGATGTTATGAGCAGCCCTTTTAGTAGTTATATCACTTTAAATTATATTAAGTGGCCATTTTTAGGTCAATGGCCACATCAAGTAGCTGTAGTAGATTGTAGTCGCCTCTCAGTTCAAGGACATTGAGAATCGTCTATCCCTCATATAAGAGTGTCCTATTCGTTCTTTCTAGGGTAATTGAATAATGTGGCCAGAACTTGAGGTGGTATTTAGTTGAGATTGTCTTATATTCTTATGTTTGAAATTATATGATAACCTACTAGAAGGATTGGAAGGTCATTTGGAGTTTAGGTAATGGGTGCTGTGATAAGACTTGAATATCTAGGATAAGAATCATAAGATATTTGGAACATATATTAACAAGTTTGGTTGAGGGTTGTATTCTAGATTGTGTAAAAATTTGCAATTAGTTACTTATCGTGCTTACATAACTAGGATTAGGATTTCTTATCCAATCTTATAGCCATATAATAGATTAACACAGAAGAGTTGTGATTGTGTTGCTTACTTGCTTATGAGCTTTTGTCTTATCCTTCTGGGATAATATTTGATATTTCATTATTCATATATTTCTAGGCACTAACGTTTGTTTATTGCAGCACTTTTGTTTTTTTGCCATTTCTTAGGTGGACTTAATGGAAAATTGACTAATTTTGGGGCTGTAATGGTGGTTGCAGTATGGTGGTTAAGATATTCATCATTACATCATTCAAGGATACCTGCTTCATTGAGATAATTCCACACACACAAATATCAACTAGAAGTAAGTTTGCCATCGTATTTCAGTCTCATTCATTGCAAGTAAGTTTTAGGTTGTCCAGACAAGGAACTTCATGTGAATTAGCATAACTAAAAAGTAGTTTTTTACCGTTTCAATTTTTTATTCTCTCTGACAAATCAGTGAGCGAATACTATAGATTTCCACAAATATTCTGTGAAAATTGAATCTAAGTTTTTGCTTGTTCTATGCCTATGAATAACGTTTAAGGAAATTAAATGGTTGATATTGTTGTCTAGAAGCTCATTACTTCTCCACACCTCGTATGCTTATGAAATATCTTATGAAGGTCTCTTCTTATTGATTAATTTGTATATGAGAAGAAAGGAACCCTCTTTTCTCTGTCATTGATTTTATCTCCAAAATTTTAATGCAGATTATTGTCTCTGCTTTCATACAGAATACATGACATACCTCACATACTTGATGCCTAATACCTAATATGAATTGTAAAGTTATGAAGTGTACTTGAGATTCTGACTTCAATATGGCTGACGAAGCAAACATAACTGTAAGCAGAATCAATTTTAAACATTATGTTTTTTGTTTCATCTTCAATTTTTATGCAGATTATAGTCTCTTCTTTCATACATATTGTTCACTGAAACTAGGAAATATGCATCTTAAAGGCCACATACAGATTATTGTTTCAGTTTATTATTGATTACTTGATTGGAGACTACCATCTACAACATGGTTTGATTGTTTGGAGAAATATCCACAATAGATAGTTTCTTTACTTTCATACAGATCATTTAATATGAGTTTATCTTAATAGTGAAAAGAGCTCTTTAAATACCCATGAAAATGTTAACAAATGTGTCTATGCTTAGCGAATTTGGTTGAACATGCATGGAGTACCTACAAATGCATCTACGCTAGCACTGCCGCTCTTGCCTAGAGCTGTTGCTGATTTTGGTATGGTGTGATTCTATTAAATCAGTAGATTTGGAAGGATCCTCATGCTTGCGATGCTAAATTACTA